TTTTTGTTCTATGATTGTTGCTTTTGTTAGATGCTATCAAGTCACTTCTGACTCATAGTGATTTTATGTACAAAAGAACAAAGAACAAAACACTGACCAGTCCTGCACCACCCTCACAATCAATGCTACCTTTGAGACCATTGTTGTAGCCACTGTGTCAATCCATCTCATTGAGGAGCTTTCTCTTTTGCATTGATTAGGGGAGAGAATCTCTCTCCCTTTGTATTCCTTGCCTGAAAGAGAATGCAGAGGAGGAGGTGGGAGGTTTGTTATATCGTGGGGATTGTTAGCAGTATTGCAAAATAAAATGTATATGAACTGTTGGATGTAAAATAATATCCTTTGTAAAATTGCACCCAAATCACAATAAAAATTCTAAAGAGAGCGAGAGGGAAAGCAGGATGCCATAGTTGTGGTTGACAGAAATTTCAGAAATCTGAAATTAAGCAGCCTTAGGGTAAGCCTGCCTTAAAGAAAACTAACATATTTGTATTCATGTATTTATTAAATAATTTTGTATGTTATGAGAAACTGAAAGTACATTATGAATTTACATAATGTCTCTTATCTATCTCAATATTTTACTTCATTACTATCAAAGAAATCTACAGAAATGCTTTCTGTGTCATAATAACATCTATATATGTTTCAAGTCATGATCAATCCTGTTTCAGATCCTTTGTGAGAACTTCTAAGTGACCCATGCACAATTTTCCTTTCCTTTAGTACCTAAGGAAGGCTAAGTAGTACTGGAATTTCATTCAGTTTAACAATAAGATACATGCTTCTTGTGTCAGGCTTTCAATCTTCTCCACAAAAAAAATCATAGGCTTCTGGAGCTCGGGAATCATGTCTTGTATTTCTGTATTCATCACAACAGAGCACATTTGGTTATGTGCAGAGTGGGGAAGGATACTCAATAAAATGCCAACTGCATCACAACCTATAGAGAATTTAAGGCACTTAAGATGGAATAGCTAATGTATTTGTAATCACATGAAGAATAGAATGGATACAGCAATATTCGTTTCTGGAGGACATCTATGTGAATGGAATTTTGGCAGAGTTCATCAAACTGCAAAAATCTGTGGAGACACGTGGTGGCGCTGCAGGATAATATCACAAAAAAATTACACTCTATAAGGTTTTGGACACTGTTACCCACTGCACACAGAGAACTGGGAAGACAGAGCAGCCAGAGGTGACCCAGAAGGTGTTCAACGGGGCTAAAGTCTTAAGACCTCCAAGGGTTTGGTGAACAGCACAATTCCCGAACGAGGTAGAGCTGAAGTGATTCTGCAGGAAGCCTTTGGGAAAGGAGCTATGGAGAAGCAAGGGCCAGGCACTCTGCGGATAAGGCAAGTCCTGCTTCTCTTTGTTTTTCTGGGAATATCTCAGGCAGGCTCTGAGCCAGGGCGCTTTTCTGTGGCAGAGGAAATGCAGAGCGGGAGCTTTGTAGGCAATTTTGCAAAGGACTTGGGACTGGAGGTGGGGGAGCTATCTTCACGGGAGGCTCGGGTGGTCTCTAAAGACAACAAACAACATTTGCAGCTGAACAGAAATACCGGAGATTTGCTCCTAAGCGAAACACTAGATCGGGAGGAGCTCTGTGGCTCCACCCAGCTGTGTGTGCTGCATTTGCAGGTGTTAATGCAAAACCCCTTGCAGTTTTTTAGAATTGAGCTCGAGGTCACGGATATAAATGACCACGCTCCCGTTTTTCTGGAAAAAGAAATGCTCCTAGAAATCCCAGAGAATAGTCCCGTCGGTACTGTGTTCTTATTAGAAAGTGCGAAGGATTTTGACGTGGGAATCAACACTCTGAAAAACTACACAATCAGCTCCAACTCTAATTTCCACGTTAAAATGAGAGTCAATCCAGACAATAGGAAATACCCAGAGTTGGTTTTGGACAAGTCACTGGATTACGAAGAGCAGCCTGAGTTCAGTTTCATCCTCACTGCTTTAGACGGTGGATCTCCGCCCAGATCTGGGACTGCGTTGGTTCGGATAGTGGTTGTGGATATTAATGACAACTCCCCTGAATTTGAACAGCCCTTTTATGAAGTGAAGATTCCAGAGAATAGCATCTTAGGCTCACAGCTTGTGACTGTCTCAGCTTGGGATTTAGATTCAGGAACAAATGGGGAAATATCATACACTTTTTCTCATGCCGCAGAAGATATTTACAAGACATTTGAAATTAATCAGAAGTCTGGAGAAATTAGTCTCACAGCACTCTTGGATTTTGAAACAACTGAATCATATTCAGTAATTGTTCAAGCCACAGATGGAGGTGGCCTTTTTGGAAAAACAACAGTGAGAATTCAGGTGATGGATGTGAATGACAATGCTCCCCAAGTCACTGTATCATCAATTACCAGTTCAGTCCCGGAAAATTCTCCTGAAACTGTGGTTATGGTGTTCAGTATCCTAGATAGAGATTCCGGGGACAACGGGAAAATGATTTGTTCTATCCCGGAAGACCTCCCATTTATGCTAAAACCTACCATTGAGAATTACTACACATTGGAAACGGAGAGAACACTGGACAGAGAAAGCTTAGCGGAGTATAACATCACCATCACTGTCTCAGACTTGGGCAACCCCAGACTCAAAACCCAGCACAACATAATCTTGTCGGTGTCAGACGTCAATGACAACGCACCGACCTTCACCCAAAGCTCCTACACCCTTTTCATCCAGGAGAACAACAGCCCCGCCCTGCACTTCGGCAGCATCAGCGCCACAGACAAAGATTCAGGAACCAACGCTCAAGTCACCTACTCGCTGCTGCCTTCCCAAGAGCCGCATCTTCCACTGGCCTCCTTGGTCTCCATCAACGCGGACAAAGGGCACCTGTTCGCTCTGAGGTCGCTGGATTACGAGGCCCTGCGAGCTTTCGAGTTCCGCGTGGGCGCGGTCGACGCTGGCTCCCCGACGCTGAGCAGCGAGGCCCTGGTGCGCGTGGTGATCGTGGACGAAAATGACAACTCGCCCTTCGTGCTGTACCCGCTGCAGAACGGCTCTGCGCCCTGCACTGAACTAGTGCCCAGAGCGGCCGAGGCGGGCTACCTGGTGACCAAGGTGGTAGCAGTGGACAGTGACTCAGGCCAGAACGCTTGGTTGTCCTACCAGCTGCTCAAGGCCACGGAGCCCGGGCTGTTCAACGTGTGGGCGCACAATGGCGAGGTGCGCACCGCCAGGCTGCTGAGCGAGCGCGACGCGACCAAGCACAGACTCGTCGTGCTGGTGAAGGACAATGGTGAGCCGTCAATGTCGGCCACCGTTACGCTGAACTTGCTCCTGGTGGACGGCTTTTCACAGCCTTACCTGCCGCTGCCGAAGTTGGCCCCAGACGAGTCCCAGGCTGACTCGCTCACCATCTATTTGGTCATTGCGTTGGCGTCAGTCTCCTCGGTCTTCCTGTTCTCTGTGCTCCTGTTTGTCGCTTTGCGGCTGTGCAGGAGGAATAGGGCAGCCTCGATGGGTCGCTACTCGGTGCCTGAGGGCCGCATTCCAGACCATTGGGTCGACATTAGCGGCACAGAGACTTTGTCTCAGAGGTTCCTCTATGAGGCGTTTCTGATGGGCGGTTCAGGGACAAATGAAGTGAAGTTCTTGAAGCCGGTTATCCCCAACTTCCCACCCCACGACCCTGGAAAAGAAATAGAGGAAAACCCTTCCTTCCGCAATAGCTTTGGATTCAATGTTCAGTAACCTAATTGATTTTGTATTCCACATGTGTTTTATTTTATGGCATTTCCCAACCAATGTTTAATTTCCCAAATTTGTGTATTTAAAATTGTACTGATATTACTTAATGTTTTCTCATGTTCTCCCCCACTTTTGCTTTTCAATGAAATTTTATCTTTATTTGTGTTTGTAATGAGATTGTAATTTCCTCTCTAACCCAGGAGAGCTTGATAATTATTTTGCCTTCTTAAACAACACTAAATCACCCCCACCCCAGTTAAACTTTACGCACAATTATGCTTATTGTAAAATAAAACTGACCACTTTGGAAGTAATACAAAAGTTCACACATTTCTTTGATTATTTTTTGCTGTTTTTCTTATGGTTTAATAATGAGCTGCTATTCAGAAATGTCACTTTTCTTTCTTTAGGTCTGCTGCATTTTCTTGATTAATGACTTTAAATGTTTATTACTACTGAAAATAAACCTGAACAATCATGTCTCATGATGCAACCATAAGTACAATCATCTAAGTAGAATGGGCCAGAAAGCAACTGTCTTGGTATCTCTTTATACATCCTGGAAAGTGGTTATGAAGGCATATTAATACTGTGGACACTCACAGAATCTTAGGACATGAAATTGTAGTTTTCCAAGTGCCTTCCCAATGTCACAAAGCTCTAATACAATCCAGTGGAATGCAGGAATATGAATAATAATTTGGATAACTTAAAGTGAACCTGTATGTTAATATATTTTGCCTAAGTTCTCTCAAAACTTAATGTGAGAAATTAACACTGTTCATGAAAGTTTATTTTTTAACTTATTTTTCATTTTTACTGTGATTGGGAGAAAGTTTACAGAGCAAATTCATTTTCTCTACACCAGTTCATACACATTTTGTTTCATGACATTGACTGTAATTCCCACAATGTAACAGCTCTCTTCTCACTTCCTCCCTGTAGTTACCTCTTCCCTGTGTCCTCCTTCCCTATGCATTCCTGCCCCTTCCCAGCTATCTCCCTGTGCAAACACTGCCCTTCTGTTCTCCAATGATTGATCACTCTAAGGAGTGTATCTACCAGATGCAAATGTTCATACCTGATGCAAATGTTCACCCTATGCATTGTTTGGCTGTCCATTGTCCAATGCTATTCTATTTTTTCTAATTTTCAAATGTCATGTTCCACTAAATTGATTTTATGACCTACTAATGGGTAGTAAGGAGCTCTGGTAGTGTAGTGCCTAAGACACTTGACTGCTAACCAGAAGGCTGGTGGTTCAAACCCACCAGCCACTCCTTGGAAGGAAGATGGAGCAATCTACTTCTGTAGTGATACTGCCTCAGAAACCCAAGGAGGGGTCGCTATGAGTCGGGTCTGACTCGATGGCATATAACAACAACAACAACAATGGGTAGTAATCCAAAGTTGGAAAACCAGTTTTCTCAGAAATATAGAAGTATGATGTTCAGTAGTGAATGATTCAAATGTACAGAACATTGTGAAGTATGAATAGACAGGCCTTTAAGGTTCTCATTTAAAAATATAATAAATGTAAATCATTGTAGGGGAAACATTTTTATCTCATACTACACAGGTACCAAGCAACTAATCTTGCCTTTGATAATCTTACAAATTACAGAAGAAAAAGCCTTCACAGTTGGGGGAAAATTTCCTTTGAATATAATTTAAGTCACTAAAGCCTGTATATTGTAGAAGGAAAATATAGATAAATTAAAAAGTAAGAGAATAGAAGGAAAGGATATGTGTGTGAAAGAGACAGAAGGCATGGGGAAAAGGAAATGAACGAGGGAGTGTAGAATGATTGCTTCTGATAACATAGAATAGAGTCAATGTCAAAAATTGCCTCTTGAAGATATATTAAAGCTTTATATTAGCATCAGAGGGAAACTGAGAATTTGTCAGTTAGCAATGCCAGGAAGTACAATCCCTTTTTCTGGCATATCTAAGATAACCTAAGATAGTCATTTCTAGAATACCATTATGGACCTATTTATTATTCTTTTCATTCAACATAAATGGAGAGAACAGAAGTCAACTGTGTTGCATGTAGGTTGAGTATATTTTCATTTTCTATTTTTAGAAGTGGAATTAAGAGCAAATTTTCTCCCCCTAAATGAAAACTTCTTTTTTCCAAGACAAAAACTCACAAGATACTAGTAAATTGATTAAGATTACTCCCTGCCTTTCCTATGCATAGGGGAGAAAAGATGGAGAACTATTAGTTGAAAGGATTATAGCTTCTTAGCATGTCAGACAAGATACATAGAATACTGAAGGTGGAAATCCTCAGAAGGAAGGTTGGGCAATCTGCCTCAGAAACCCAAGGAGGGGTCACTATGAGTCGGGTCCAACTCGACGGCACATAACAACAACAACATTCCTCATTCACTAGAATGACTATAATCAAAAAGACTGACAAGACACTAACAAGTGTTGGTGATGATGTGGAGAGATCAGAATCCTCATGCGTTACTGGTGGGAATGGGAAATGATGCAGCCACCTTAGCAAAGCTTGGTAATTCCTCAAAATTTTAAACACAGAGTTACCCTGTGACCCAGCCATTCTACTCCTATGTATCTATCCAAAGCAACTGAAAACATACGTCCATACACAAACACTTTATACACGAGTGTTCATAATTCAAAATAGCCAAAAGAGGAAATAACCCAAATGTCCATCAAATGATGAATGGATAAACAAAATGTGGTACTCCCTTGCAATAGAGTTGTTATTATTGAGCAATAAAATGGAATGCAGCCCTGATACATGCTACAACAGGGATGAAGCTCAAGAACATTATGCTAAGTGAAAGAAACCAGTCATAAAAGTTCACATATTATATTATCCCTTTTATATAAGATGTTCAGAACAGGCAAATTGATAGAGACAAAAGTAGATTAGTGGTTGCTTAGGTCTGGAGAGGAGAGATGCAGAGTGACTGCTAATGGGTATGAAGTTTCTTTTCAAGATGATGGAAATGTTCTAAAATTATGGTGATAGTTGTACAACCCTATAAGTATACTAAAAACAATTTAATTGTACACTTTGAATGGGCCTTAGGCACTATGCCAACAGAACATGCAAATTATAGAGAGCTCTGGTGGCATAGTGGCTAAGGCATTAGACTGCTAACTAGAAGGCTGGTGGTTCAAACCCACCAGGCACTACTTGGAAGGAAGATTGGGCAGTCTATTATGTAAATTGTAGCTATTAAAAATATAAAAAAATAAAGGTGGGGTGGTTCTAGAAGCCTGTGGTCCCAAGTAAGTTGGCTTGCTTCAGATTTTTCCCCCAGATATGAGCAGCATGACTTCTCTAATTCTGGAAAGAACTATGTGTTTCCTGATTCTAATGGGAAGTGGTTGGGCGTCCAGGAGCTTGGATGCCCAGACATAGTAACTAAACCAAACCAAACAACCCACAGCCAGCTAGTTGGTTCTGATTCATAGCAAACCCCATAGAGTTTCCAAGGCTGTAAATCTTTATGGAAGTAGATTGCCTTCTCTTCCTCCTGAGGAGCAGCTGGTAGGTTTGAACCACCAACTTTCTGGTTACCAATCAAATGCCTTACCCACTATGCCACCAGAGCTCTTTCAATAGCTGTCAGTTGTCCTGAAACATAACACTAAAAACAAAATTTGCTCTTATACTTCAAATACATCTTTTATGTTGTTGTTGTTATGTACCTTCAGGTAGTGCCTGATTCATAGTACCCCTCCTTGGGTTTCCAAGGCGGTATCACCATGACAGTAGATTGCCCAACCTTCCTTCCGAGGAGTGGCTGATGGCTTTGAACCACCAGCCTTCTGGTTAGCAGTCAAGTGCCTTAGACACTATGCTACTGGAGCTCCTTCATGGCTAAATTTAAATCGGAGCATTGCAATCAAATTGCATCAGCCAATTTTATTCTGAAAAACTATAGACTGTAAGGAATTCCGAAAATGGTCTTACATATCCATTGTATATAGTATGGAATTGGCCAAGAGTATGGCCAATACTCTTGGACTTTTTCCTTTGGTACCATCTGTTCTTGATCATATGCTACCTCCTACAGTGGTTGAACACTGACCACTTATTTTTGGTACAGTAATTCTGTATTCCTTTCATCTTCTTTTGATACTTCCTGCATCATTCAATATTTTGCCCATATTTGTCCTTCAGTTCTTTCAGTTTGAGAAATGCCAATAAATATGGAAGACAGCTACCTGGCCAATTGACTGGAGGGATCTGTATTTGTACCCATTACAAAGAAAGGTGATCCAACAGAATGTAGAAATTATCAAATAATATCATTCATATCACACACAAGTAAAATTTTTTTTTTATTAGGATTTGGGTGTAGATTTACAGAGTAAATTCACTTTTCATACAGCAGTTCACAT